TGTGTGATCATTCATGTGAGTGATATAGCAAGCAAGCTTGGATGTGGTCTGTGGATTTTTCTGTCCTGTTTAAGTGACTTTCATATAGAACCTGCTGCCAGTTTCATGGACATAGTCTGAGGCCACTGAGGGACCCCAAGCCTCCAGGCTGGCTCTCTGAGAGGGGCATAGTGACATAAACAGGGGAAATGCCAGGCTTGTGAAGGGTGACAGGGGTATTTGTGTCTGGGCTCTGTTCACTACTTTTCTCACCACTCTGACAGAATGTCTGTTCATCTCAGGGAAGACATGAGGATATCCAGTGTAGTAGAAGGGCCATAAGATGGCTTGCTCAGATCTCAGTGGCTGACCAGGAAGCCGGGAGCTCCAGGCAGAAGCACCAGACTGTAACCTGCATGGCCTGCTCCCCAGGGACTTACTTCCCCAACTAGATTCCACCTCTTCAAAGTCCCATGACCTCCTAAAGCAGTGCCACAACCTAGAGACTAAAAGCTCAACACATGAGCCTGATGAAGTACATTCCATGTTCAAAGCACAGTGGGGCTGGATGCTCAGCATCTCACAGCCTGGAAGCTGCCCTCTATGGGGAGTTACAACCCCCACAGCTCACTAGCTGCTGCAGGAGACACTTGATACACTCGATGCTGTTCAACGCCATATATTACTTCCTCAGAACTTTTAAGATATGCAGGGGTAAGGCAGCAGTGGGCTCTGCTGTTAAACCACTGTCACTGTTAGCTTCAGCTGTCAATTTGAAACAAACCTAGAGTTACATGGGAAGGGGACACCTCACCCAAGGAATTGCCTCCATCACATTGCACTGTGGGCATGTTTGTACAACCTTTTTTTTTGATTGATTGATACAAGAAGGCCTAGTCCACTGTGCTGTGCTACCTCTTGGCAGGTAGGCCTAAGCTGTATAAAAAGGTAACTGAAATATGGGCTTGGGTGTAAGCCAGTAAGCAGTGCTTCTCTGTGGTATCTGCTTCCGTTCCTGCCTCTAGGTTCCTCATTGTGCCTCAGTCCTGACTTCCTTTGATGATGGTGTAATAAGCCCTTTCCTTCCAAAGCTGTTTTTTTGTTACTGTATCACAGTAACAGAAAGCAAACTATGACAATATCCTGGAAGAAAATAATACAATCACCTTGAGCCTGTTTCTGGGGCAGAGTAACCGTCTATACAGAGAAAGGGCTGCCCAGAAATGGGGGTTACACACACACACAAAGAAAGAATCAAGAGCACCCACAAGAAGAGACAGGGTGAATCATTCCTCCAGTAAGGTTATAAAACTTCAGAGGGTGAAGCCTAGCTAGCAGACTAGATTGTTGGGAGATCTTGAAGGTTCTACTTACTTTAGGTTCTGGCCTAATCTCTCTGTGCAATACCCAGCAGGGTGTGAAAAGCTCCCACTGATATAGACCAGCCTCTCCTCTCCATGCCTTCCCCACCATGACAGACATTTGTGCTCTCTGGAACTGTGATCCACAATAAACCCATTATCCTTAGACTGCACTGTCACAGGGGTGAGGAAGATGGTCAATGCAGCTTAGCATGGAGGCCGACATTCCTCTTCCTCACCATGGAACCTTCACCAGCCAGCCTCAAGGCTGGCAAGACCTTCACCAGTCCCAGATAAGCCTGACATGCTGAAATAGTACTTCCACAAATGCCTGGGCAGTGGAGTGCCAGACTGGCATGGTAAATTTATTAAACAATGGATACTTACAAGGTGGAAGTGTCAGCTACTGGAATTAGCTGAGTTGCTAATACATCAGGTAAGGTATCAGCCTTCAGGACATGGCAATCCCAGAAGCCAAGAGGACATGCTAGAGAATTCAGGGACAGAGGAAATTTCCACAGGGTAGACCTGCAGCAGTGGTGCCGAGAAGGTGGGGTTTCCAGATGGACAACTGGAGACTCTGGAGACAGAGTGGGGAATGGGGTGGGATCCAATGAGTTCAGACACTGGCAGCAGGATAGGCAGACTGGTCAGGAGATAACCTACAGGGCCTGTTATAAAACCAGGTGATCACACAGGCAAGACAGCTAAGCTGGGTCCTGGGGAATGGTCACAGAGTTGGGCCTCAGGGCCTATCTTCTGTGCTATCCAACCATAGAATAGTCCCAGACATATAGCTTCAGGAAGCAAGTTCTCTCTAGTCATTAATTTGGATAAACTGTAAAGAAGTGAGAAGTGACTCCTGGTGCCATCTCTGCCACTTGAGCATAAATGCTTTTTAGCAAGTTTACACATTCCTTTGCCTCTGTCCCTCAGAACTGTTAATCACTCTTGCCTTGGCTGCTCAGTATCATTTGACCTAATAATGGTGAGAGCTCTGGGCAATGTCTTCAAGGTTAGCATGCTTGCTAATCATGTCAAAAGAAGTCCTTGGCTGATGCTCCAGTTGAGTGACAGCTGTGGGCAACACTTGCTTGCTTTATATGTAACTGAACAATGTCCACAGAAGAGCAGGACTGCACACGTCATCTAGCGTAGGTGTGGTGGCAGTATACATTCCTTCAATGTCTCTTGACAGGAAGGGACACAGCCATGTCTGCCAGAAGATGGTGGAGAACATGAGGTGAAGACTGTCCAGCACTTGGCAGCTAGAGGAAGAGCTTGCCAGCTGAAAGTGTGGCCAGGCCCTTCACTGCTGTGGGGGTGGCAGCCAGATGTTTGGCTTCTGGACAAGCTAGGTTCCTTCCACTGCCACCCAGAGTAGCCCTTGACAAGCCATCAACACTCTCTGGGCCTCAAGTTCTTCCTCTATGAAACATTCCTACCATGACTGTCTCTACAACATGCCAGAATTAAGCAAGCAGGCCTCCCCACTCACTCCATGGCTTTCCACTCGCAATGACCTACACTTTGCCAGATTGGTAGACAGGTGCTGAGCCCCAACTCAACATATGGGGACAACTGCAAGTCAGACCTTAGCCAGAGTGAGAGATATCCCTAAAGGAGCCTTGTGATTTTCCCAGTCTCCTTATAGTTTAGAGTTGGACATCCTGAGACCCAGGTGCCCTGCAGACCTGAAGACCAGTCCAGGGGAGGCCACAATTGGGACAGGACACACTAAAAGCCCACAGCTGCACTGGTCAAGGAACCAAAGGCTGCGAGCTGGCAGAACACCATTTATTAACTCCAATCCAAGATTCACATGAACTGCGGTGGGCTTGGTTTCATTTTTAGGTTCATTTCATTTAACAGTTCATTGAACTGTTAGAACTGTTCACGACTGGCACCCATTTATTTCCTCCCAAAGCAACATTTTCCTGTGGGGGCAACAGTTTCACTCCTGCCTCCTAGTTTCAAGTATCATTTTGCCACCAAAGGAATAAAGTGCCTTTCCAGATCATCCAGGGAATACCTGCAGATGGTCCCCAGGCTTAGGCACTGGCCTGGATTTCTGCAATTATGTATGTATTCTCTTTCTACTCTATAAGCTGCCCTTTCTACCCAAAAGTCATTATCTGCTTTCTGAGCTAATCAGTAAATCTCAAAAACACACAGAAGAGAAGTCATTGTCATCTACATGAAAACATGCCAGTGTGACACACAGCCAATCATCTGAACATTTCACTTATGACATAAGGAGAGGCAGCTTGTATGAAACTGTGCCTTGAGTACAGACTGGGCAGGGTTATGTGCTGGGCCTCAGGAAAGGAAAGACCAAAGTCTGAGATTGGAAAGAATTCTATAGATTAAACAGACACTGGGTGAGCAGTTCAAACTTGTAGGAAACACTGAAGAAACAAGAGATGGGGCCAACCTTGCTACCTTGTGATCAAATGGAAAGAAAGATGCAGCACAAAACTAGAAAGGAGAAAATCAACCCATGTTTGCCTAGCAATAGAGTTCTCACAACCCTCAACCCACTTGTCTGTAAGAACTCTCCTCCAGAGACCCACAGCCATAAAGTTTCTGGAAGAATGGGGATGACAAGCCCAAGTAACCAACAATGGTTGTGAATTCTAAGAGTTTCCTGACTTCCGACTAGAGTCCTTCCTGAGCCTAGCCCCAGTGGTGAATGCTTGCTTGGTAAAGTAAGCCCGCCTTTATTATTCAAGGCAAGAAGAACTCTCCATGCTTTGTCACTGTCCAAAAGTCAAGGTATTGAATGCTCTTTAGAGTCCCTTCCATTGCTGTCTAAAAGCTGGGGACCGAACAGGAAGAAGCGCTCCCTCTAGAAAAGTGACCTGTGACTACAGAAGGCTAGTTCTTGCTCATACACTTAACCCAACACCATGTCTATTTCTTTGGATGCCAGTTTCACCTGCCACTTTGTCCCCTCTGGCTAGTTACACCCAGCTCTGCAGGACTGCACACCTAGGGCTCTGCATTCCATACACCTTTCCTGTCCCAAGATAAGCATAGCTTGAGGGAGGAATGGCATTTGTTGGCCTGAACTGAAATTGCCTGGAAGAGTTTAGGGATCCTTCTCATGTTTGCTGAAATTCTTGTTTTCACCACCATTTCCCAGGCAACCCACTCTCCTTTTTTATCATAAGGAAACCCCCACAGGTAGACCTGTGTTCAGATGGGACAACCACACAAGGACAACATAGGTGCAGAGGCAAGTTGGGGCAAATATAAGGAGTATACACCCCTTTCCATCTCCCTGAATCTACAAACTACTGAAATACATCACAAGGAAGCCAATTACACTAGGGTGTAGGAGTGGGCATGGATGGGCTCAAAGCTCCAGGATGCTTCCCTTTGCAGCTGAGCACTTTACAAGAGGAGAAAGGGGAGCCAGGAGATGTGCTGCCTGGATTGGATCTGTTTATACACCATGGGGAATGAAGGTCTGCTAAACAGCCCTGTGCTGCCTACAGGCAGAACTCAGACCCCAAATGCAGCCCAGGCCAAAAGCAGCCTGTCTTTGACACCCCACCTCCCCCAACTCAGCCAAATAGGAATAGTTGATTTACTTACATATAACCCAACGCCAAACTCCCAAGTCAAAAGAAAACGCTGGGCCAACACGAAGCTTACCCCGCCTCAGGAGTTCTAGAAGCAGAACTGTTTTGGCGCTCCCCGTGGCCTCTTGGCTTGCTGCTGCGGCTTTCAGAGCTGCTCACATGTCCTGTCCCCAGGGACTTCCTACTGTGGGCATGTGCTGTAGGGCCATCCTCATACCCATTCAACAGGTCTTGGCCAGCTCGGGTTCTTGTCCTCGTTGGCCGACATCCCTCTGATTTGTCCTCTCGTGCTGCTGGGACATCTCGAGCTGGTTTGTATCCATGAGAAATCAGGAGATCTTCCACACTGTACATGGTGCAGTGTCATCAAAGCTCACGAGTTCGAACCATCATGGTAGCAGGACCCATCACTGAAAGGACAATGAAGAGCTGCATTTATGAACACCCACATCAAAGTGGGCACACACCCTTCCCAGGCCTGCCAGGGATGCATATCTAGACCTTGTCAAAAAAAGATGGGATCTCACTATGTACCTTGCAAACTTGTAATCCTGCTACCCCAGGTTTACAAGCACTGGAATCACGGGTGTATACTACTAGACCAGCCAGGGTGCATGTAAAACTTTTGTCAATCAAATCTCTTCACAGTTATTTTGTACAAGATTTTCCAAAGTTAGCCAAGGGTGGCCAGAGGCAAATATGGCCTGGAGACCAGCACACTTAGTGGCTTATCCCATGTTTATAACTAGAGGCAAGAAGATCAGAGAGAGGGAATGGAGACATTGAATAAAGGCAAAGCAGATGGGGCTGCCAGTCACAGAGACTGGGTCTAGCCCTGGCCTGGCACCAAGGGTTTGGGAGCTCCATGCCCAGCCACTCCATGGGTGAAGGGAAAGTCACTGTGGCCAGAGAAACAATTGTCAAGAAATGTATGCTGGCCAGTGCGCAAGTGTAATGAAGTTGTCTGCACTTCCTGCCAGTGGGAATTCTCCCTAGGTCCCTGCTGATCACTGGGCACATGCCACCCATTAGAACACACAAGTAGAGACATCTCTATGGTCATCTTGGGGGTGATCATACTTTGTTGGTCTGTAACTGCGCATGGTGTCCCTTTAGATTTTTGGAAAGTTGGAAAGCTCTGGAAGTTAGTGACCTCACAGAAAACTCTCTGCCATTATTCCTGACACTACTTTGTGACTTTCAGGGAGTCACAATACTGTGACTTTCAGGGAGGCACAGATGGGCCATTCACTTACACAGCAAAGAAGGAGCTGAGGAACAAGCATTTGTTTAAGTTAGCTTAACAAGGACTTTTGCTATGTGAATGTGGAAGAAGGCTATTTAGCTGGAGTTTTTGCTGGCTACACCCCCAGCATCCAGCAATTAGTATGCTTTCTGGAAATTTTTGTGGAATGGATGAATGAATGAGAAAGGGGCACCAGGGCAACATTTTGAAGAATAGTTAGGAGTTAGATAGATACACTGCATCTGTCAATATAGAAGTGGGAAACTTGACAATTTAAACAAACTCTGGGTGTGATGACCTCAGGAGTAAAACCATAGCTTAGAGACAGAATCCTGGTGACCCAGGGTAAAGGGCCCATACCCACAACTCTGTGTCTTCATACAGAAATGGTTGGTTGTATGCAGCCCTGCCTCACAAAACGTCCATGTGGGTCAATGGCCACTAGGGTTTGGTAAACCAACCCAGCATCCTTATTTTCCCATAATTATATTCAGAAAAACCTTCAACAAGGTAACAACCTACTATGGCATACATGTCTTTCAGAGGATATCCAGCTTGTCAGAGCCAAAGTGGCCTCGGATAACTGAGGTCAACGGATTGCCAACGTTGAAAGTCTTACCTGTTTTCCTCTCTGGGGCCTGCAACTCACAGGAGTGGAGGAGAGTGCAGGCTTCAATGCTCAGGGCTGAGCCACCAGCTGACCCACAGGCCTTATCCATAACCCCAAAGGCAGCACCACCATGTAGCTCATGGAAGACTTCTGCCCCTTAGGTGTATTCTCCACCTTGGCGCAGCTCAGCTTGACCTCTGCCTCATGTGAGCCCTGACCCCTCTCCTACAGGTTCCTGTACACTATTACTCTAACACCTGCTGTGTTTGGCTTGTTTCTTTGATGTCACTCCATTTAAAACAGAATGGGCTGCATCAAGACATAGCAGTTCTTTACTACAGACATATTAATTGCAGTATCCACCAAGATGAATCAATGAGGCACCAAAGAGGGGGCTCAGGCACCCAAGGAGTTTCTATTTCCTTCTAATTATAAGATACCAACATTGTAGGCCAATGGTAATTAATTCTGTCATTTACACACCTCAGAGGTGGTTATAAAGACAAACACATTACAAAAGCTAACACACACCAAGGTTGTCACTGTCAAAAAGTTGTTTGTAACCTGGGAAGGTAAGAGTATAGCTAAAACAACACAGGGTCAGGCATGATCCAGGGTCTAGTGAGCTACTCTTTTCAGCTGTGGTCCCTGAAGTGGGTGAGGAACTACCCCAAACTTTCCAACATGTAAAATGGCAGGAAACAGTCTTCCCAGAGCACTTCACTGCTCTGAAAGCCCAAGAAGAACAGGTACACATTACCAGGCAAATATCATATGACAGATTATTATGCCACACTAACCATTTTCACCATGTGCTTTTGCCATTTTCTGTTTCCTTTGGTATCATGTGGTGTGTTGCTCTTGGTTTCCAGCCTCATATTCACTTGGTATCACCACATACTGGATACTCAGCCTCTCCAAGTAACCAAGGATGGAATATTACTTTGTAAGAACAAAACATTAAGACACATTTCCTTGGAGCATAGTATGCGCCAAGCTCTGAACGAATAATGAAGAACATGTTCTTTGTACTGTCTTGCTGAACAGACAGTAGGCAATTAAAGCTAGGCATATGTGTGTTGAAGACATGATAGGAGCCTGCCACTTCTTCCATGGGGTTGAAATACATGAAGACAGGATGACTGGAAAGAGACCCTATCCAATCTCAAGGGATTGACAGGGCCTCTGGAAGTTTCTCAGTCAAACAAAACCTCTGCCCAGTTTGCACTCTGTATTAGTTGCAGGCAGTTCATTCAATAAATTTCTTCCCAGTCAGACATGGTGGATCATTTCTGAAAATTCAGGAAGCTGAAACAGGAGGACCATCCCAAGTGTAAGGCCAACCTGGGATATCTAGTAAATGCCAGGTCAGCTGAGATACAATGTTGAGACCCTCTCTCAGACCCCAAAAAAGATATTGGGGGGAGGTCATGTTAGGATGTGAGTGTGAGATGTCACTCACAGGCTCATGTGTTTTGGACACTATTCTCCAGTCGTTGGTCCTATTTTGAGAAGCTGTGGGCATGTAAGGAATAAGGAATAGTCTGGGGGTGAGCCCAGTGGGTTATAGCCCCACCCCAGATCCAGTCTATGCTCCCTGACCCACTATGATATGAACAAGCAGCACCATTAACCTGTGGCTACATGACTTCACTGCCATGATAGAATGTGCCCTCTCAAGCATGAGTTAAATTGGAAGTCATTCTTTGTTAAATATTTGGTCACAGCAAGGAGACTAGTAACTAATATATTTGCCTACATTTATTTTCTTGAATTAAATTCTAATAAGGAAATACCTAACAAAGTGATTGAGACAGTTACTATTTCACTTTTTAAGAATGCTGGTCATGACCTACTAAATAACTTCACGAAGCACTAGCTTGAAGAGTATCGGTGTAGATGCCATCCCTCTGATGGTCAGGGGTGAGACAAGATGACCTCTGTTCAATAATGCTATTACTCCATGAGAAATGCCTTGGTCTAATAAGTCCCTTGTTCTCCTCTCAACAGCAAATCTAGCTGTTCTACCTATCAGAATTTGGCTTTTCAAGAAAGGTCATAATGACCCTGTGCTGCTGCTTTTCTGATCTTTAGACCACCACTGGAAGAAGAAACCATTCTCCCTAAGAACAGTGCCATCAATTCCTTTCCCCCCAATCTATGGGAGTCCACCACTGACTAGCACAGCCTGCATGCAGAAGAACCCCTAGGGTCCAGGAAGTGAAATATATCTTCCATGCTGCCACTCTCACTCTGCATGTCTGGCTTGAGAAAGCTTTGTACTCAAGTCTACATCTATTGGGCTTTCCTGTTGTCTGGACCTTCCTCAATGGGAACTGACCATCTAGTGAAGGGACTTGTATCCCAGGGGACTCTGTTGTCAGAACAGGCGTCTAGCAGTCTCTTGTCTTAGAAGCTATTGCAGATGTTCTGCTCCAGCAGCCAAGATGGAGGGCAGATATGAAGTGTGGCTGTGACATCATGAAGACCCATGTTTTCATGTATTAGGGTACCTTAATATCAAGCCCCATTTTCACATATGTAAGTAGATCTACCACTTAATCCAAGAGAGGGTATGTGTCTCCAGGAGCTGGGGGGATGCTAACTTTACCACTGCTGCTAGCCTCTGTGGCATCACTGTGGAGAGGAGGGGAATCAAGGGTGACCCAGCAAGCTGGCTCAGAATGCTTCACGGGGCCTTCAGCCACATGCTCTTCCCTAGTTTGGTCTTGTACAACGTGAACTAAGCCAAACAAGCCTTTTCATTAAAACAAACTTTGTAAGGCAGCATACACAAAGAAGAAAAACTGGGTCTATAAAAGTTCCCTTTTCTTGCATAAAAGGTTTTATGCAGTCTAAGAATAGTTAAGATAACACAAACTTGGGGGATTTCATTCCTGTCTTCTAAACATTTAAAGGCAGGAGTAGTAGGCTGGAGCACTGCCTGCTCTTCAGGAAGACCTAACACTGCACACATGTGGTGGAGACATACATGTACAAAACACCCATGCATAGAAAACAAATCATTAAAAAAAAAAACTTTAAAAAAATAAAGACAGGTGTGGGGTTCTCAGCACTTGGGAAACAGAGGCAAGAGGAGCTGTGAATGTTCAAGGCCAACTAGAGCAAGACCTTGCACGCACACACACACACACACACAGAGAGAGAGAGAGAGAGAGAGAGAGAGAGAGAGAGAGAGAGAGAGAGAGAGAGAATACAAGAGAGAAAATGAACATATCACTGAAAAAAAAAAAGAAACCAAACACAACACTGAGTGGGAAGGAAGGTCAGGTTTAGCCCCAAACACCCTTTACCTCTATTGGACTGGTTTAAATTATGCTTTCATGAGATGGGACCAAAAAAGAAATGCTTATTAGCATGCAGGCTCTCATTTAGGTGGAGAAGGGAAGTAAATTAGAGAAGCAAGAAGGCTGAGGAGCTACGGTGTTCTTTCTGGGCTTTGTGACTCACTCATGAGATCTAGTTTGTATCTTACTG